CCAGTGGTTTTTTTCCTCCCAGGCAATCCTGATGTCTAATGATGGACCACGGAGGCATGGACGGCTCGTTTGGCTTGAACGACATGCGATCCCGGATTTGATCCTCGGACCTCGCGCGCGGTAAGCAGCGCCCTCTTGCCCCGACACTTTTTCCGCCCCGCTGTTCAGTTATCGGGGCTAAGCGTGTAACCCGCTACTGTTCATTGAGGAGTCTCGTGAGAAATCAACTTTCTTATAAATGAGCCTAACTCAACCTCATCATTTGAGCGCATCGATCGATAAGCTCATCAGTGTCGACATTCCGTAATCGAGTGGCGAACCGAAACGCCGTTGGTGTTCCATTGGTGGAACGGAGTACATCGTAAGAGTATCTGTCGTTCGCCATGAGGAAATCCTCGTAAATTTTCCGAAAAGCCCTTGAATCGATTAAATCAATATCGATAAGGCAGGGCGACTGATCAGTAAGAAGCTCACCTCCTCATCGTCGACGATTGCTTTCCACGCATCCACGAAACCCAATCCTCCCATATATTTTTCGAATGCAAAGTACCAGAACTCGGTACTATTTCGACCAGCGGAACAGGACGTGCTCTGAATCCAACAATCAATAAATCGATAATATAAGTTCGGTGGGACCCGCTTAGCAGACAGTATACCTCAATCTCCCTGAGGAGCCTCAAAAATGGCTCCCGTTCAGCGGCGATCTGCATTCGGGGCGGTTTCATTACAGCAACATCCATTCGGTGATGTCTTCTGGGAAGTACTGCTTCCGAATTTCGAGAAAATGACGAGGGCGGGAATTAGTCAGCACGATATTGATCAGCTGAAACTCGGGACCACTGTCAAATTTAATCAATTGTTTTGAAGAAGGGTTTCATATTCGACCAATTGTTGCGAACTGCGCCATGACCTTTACTTCATCTAACCTCATTGATACATTTGAATGGTTTTTTTTACTCTTGTGAGAGGATTGGGACGGCCCGGATATAATTTACAATTGACATTTATCTTACCCTGACAATCTTGATGTAAATTTTTGCGCAATCTTGTGGATTGAATAGTTTCAGGCTGGATGATGAATTTTAACTCTTGAACTTCGTAATTATTCGAATAAATTATGATGTCCAACGAATAAACAAAGTATCCTATATATGTCAAAAAGAATGTTTTTCATGTTTTTCAAGTGTTATCTTTCCGAAATATCCTCTGTTGTGCGGTAGCCACAAAGAACAATTGTTGTCCCTTCGAACTAGTTTTCTAGCTGGTTTATTGTTTAATGCAAGCAAAAAGGCACAAGTAGGCAAAACGACCACATTCCATAGCTGCCATTTTTTCGAAACTAGCTTTTACACAAGCATCGATAAGCGTTAAGATTATAGAGATTATGACGGACAGTGTTAGCGTGGCGCCGGTTAACCTGAAAAGCGGATTTGATGAAAAGACAGCCTATTGGGAAATTAAATAGAGATGTTCAGTAGCGCACGAATGGAGAAAATACCGACAAAATTCTTAGAAACCGACAAATGGCGCCCCTTCCTTGCCCTTGTATTTTGCGCATTGTTGCGACTCTCATCGGTGCTGCCTTCTTCAACGCTAACTTTCTCTCTCTATGCTGAGTCGCTAGAGATTCAGACCGAGACGCGCGAGAGGAGGGGAGGGGGAGTACCGCGGCAATAGCGCGCCAATTGCGGCGGGGGAGAGCCATATCAGATTGCCGGGGACATCCTTCAATGCGAATTGCGTGCGTGTCGGTCCGCACCCTTAAGGCGTTCGCCTGTCGTTTCACTAGGCGAGCTTCCCTTTCTTCGACCATCGTCCTTATCGTGGAATCCCTCCTTCGAGTGGCGCTCGCAATACTCTTCATGCTCGGAGCAGGTAAAGTATCGCTGAATTTCGATGGTTACTACTGAAGAGCGATGAGGAGGTGCGACCATTGTGGATGAGTGTTATAAGACTGTTTGTTAATCGTCGTTAGTACCTTTTGACCTCCGGAAACAGGAATCAGGGAAACTTACGTCAAGCGCAACAACTTTTTGGGATCCAACTGCCGCCGTTATCACATAAGTTCCAAACAGAATAAGTGCAAGTAATACGGTCCATCGGTTAGCAATGAGTGGAGCGTAGTAGTCCTCGAAGAACCTCTGATACCACATTCGGCTGTCCTGTAATCCTTATATCTGGGCTTATAACTTGCTAATCATTCATCACCATAGATTGTGGTCAGTGCTTTGAACTCACACCCTAGCGTTAGATAAGCGAAATGCTGCGGCTGATCAAAGACTGAGAAAAGGCCACAGGCGATGTGGTACGAGGTGTCGTTGTGACAGAAGATGCTCTAAATGTGATATTATAAGCGCAACAGCGGCGCTATAACCTGCTACAAGATCGCTCAGCCTACATTACGGTAAACACTTGTCTGTGCTATTCGCTCCTTTGATATTTCCTCGTGTCCGCTCCCTCTCTCTCGCATCAGACTAATCTCTTGACTCGCTGCTTTTTCTCTTAATACAAAAAGGGCAAGAGGTCTGCATTGCGTGTTTTCTGATGGCGATTCTTTCCTTTTTTGTTTTGACCTGGCGGTCATTCGTACCGTCAACTTCCATAATCGAGCGTCGCCAACACACGACTGATCATAGGATGTTATTTTAAGTAATTTGTCAAGTTAAGTTAAGTTTTCAGTGCTGCTAGTGTCTACGACTTGCATTATGAACTACCTTACCTGGGACTGGCGACCTTTAATGACTTCATCGGCATTCAAATGCTTTCTCGGTTGCTCTTCCAACCGGAACCCATAATGGAAAGGCTAAGAATCAACTGAGTGAAAGCTTCTGCCAAATGAGCGGGTTTGTTTAAGTCCTCACGATGGAATGCTATGAACCAGCAACTAAAGAGTAGTTAATTCAGAAAATAGGGTTCCAAAAAAGTGCCCGGCCAAGAAAAGCGCTAAGAGGATCTGTTTACCTAGTCGAGCCAAATCTTTTGTCTTTCCCATGAGAAGTGAACTTTTTTGCTGCTTTCCTGCAAGTCGTCCTGTTAGGCCGGCAATGCGACATCAACAATCGGTCAGACAGTACAGGAATATGAAGGTGATCGCGGCACAGGAGTAATAGCAGAAGAACTTCACCTAAATTGATCCCAATATAGAAAGAAGCCAGACGATGCTTATTTTTAGAGGTCGTGTAATTTGAAAAACTTGATGGCAGTGTAGTACTCGATGGTCAACCGTCATTTCGCACTGAAAGAGGGGCCGTATTAGTGATTTTGGGAAAGGCGGTCGCATTTTGGGGTTGGGAAAGGTTAATACCTCTAGGATAAGCGTGAACGTGATCCGTGGAAAGGGGTTGTTTTTGGACTTGACAAGGTTTTGATGAGTTTGGCAAAATTTTCATGGAAGTTAAACCGAGACAAAATAGATGGATTGCAGGTGCATGATACCGATTAGCCTCCCCCCTCCCCCTCCTCGACGACCGCTTCGGAAGGATAAACTGGGCAGAGTGTTGCGCGTCGACTGGTCGCAGAATGAGATACTATAGAAAATATACTGTAAAACACCCATGATGGTGATTCAGGTAAAGAAGGCAAGTGTCGTATAGGCGATGCCTCTTCACTGATGTGGTAAACCACATCGAGCTCCCTAGTTGGGGGGGGAGTTGCAAAATCGAATCGAACACGAGCGATTGACTTCTGGGTGAATTACGCCTTACTTATGAATATTTCGAAAGAAGTGCTTATCTGTTTGATGTTTGGCCTTCACGAATGTGGGTACGAAGTTATACGAAGCGTAACTAATAGCGCACTTGTCCGGAAAACGAGGGGTGCGGGTTCGAATCCCGTCTGAGGCAAAAGTTTTGTTCACAATCCAGCATTCTTGAAAAACGATCGCCAATTATTTCTTTCAGTTTTCAACTTATTAATTTACCATTTCGCTATTTTAACAGGCGGGAATTTACTCAAAGTCACGTTGCTCATTATCATTCTAGAGTGGATAAAACTATTGGAAAGGTCTTACAAGGGAGGTCTTTCAGGGCAAGCCGCGCTTTTTGGAAACGGTTTCTTGCATATTGTAGGGACGCATGTATGGACCACAAAACCATGTTTCGTTTTCGCTGAACGGTTTTAGTAGTACCAAAAAAGTGGTGAATGATACCCTTGATGGTTCGATCCCCCGCGGCGACTAAATTTTGCAATCAAGGTTGGCGGCCACTTGTTGGCTTCAAAATGGTCCTGACGATGAATATGACATCTGATTTTGACATTTAGCGCGATTTGGCACCAAACCGTAGGCGCCAACCCAAATGCAAAATTTAGTCGCCACGGGGGATCGAACCATTAACAGTACCTTATGCTTCTTTTTTGGTACTGCTAAAACCGTTCAGCGAAAATGAAACATGGTTTTGTGTTCCCTACATGCGTCCCTACAATATGCAAGAAACCGTTTTGAAAAAGCGCGGCTTGCCCTGAAAGACCTCCCTTGTTAGGGACAGGCTATGTGTAGCATCACTATAATAGGAGGTATACTAAGAAAGGCCTAAGAACAGATGAGCTGCGGGGTCATAGCTCTGCAAACTACGCTTCCACCTAGCAGTTCTGTCCCTGCCTGCTTCTCTCTCATCTCTAGTATCAATAAGGAGCGTTATTACTGGTTTCTTTTGCTCTTTTTCGTTTGTGGCACAATACCTACTGTCGCATCTTTGGTCCACATACTGTGATCTCAGAATGGACTCGTAGGTAGTGCTAGATAGGATTTGTTGAATGGCAGGCGCTGAGGATGTTTCACTGTGGTATGGCATCGTTGAGACCATTAACTGAACTGCCAAGGTCTTTCCATTCCTGCCATTCCTTTCAATCAAGAACAGGCAAAAAAGGCAACCAAGGTTCAAGCAATTTCTGGTTCTCCGAAAAGTTGTTCCAAAAGGGAACTGTCTATCCAAAACCGTGCTCGATTTGAAAGCAACTAAAAGGCGTGATTTCTTCGAAAGGACGGCTCAGTGTCCTTCACTCTACGTCTTGTTTTTGAAGTCCTTACTCAAGCTGAGAAACGGCATCACAGTGCACATATCGACGAATGTCACCCCAAAGAGCAGAAGCAGTCCAGTTGATGAAATGATCGCCATCAGTGCTGATACCACGCCGATCACACCCATCAGAGGCTTGCTCAGCACCTGAACTAGAAAAAAATCCAAAAAGTATCACTCGTAATGTGAGGGTAGCATTAGCATAATATCTCTTAGAATTATGAACAACATAATCATCCGAGAACTCTGCCAGGTCAGGTTAATAAGCTTGGAGAGATACGTGAGAGTATAATCGGACTTACCCAATCCACGACGGGTATGGTCAGTTGCGAATCCGTGAACATTCCTGATGGCAGAGAGATCCATTTCACATTGAAAGTGCACAGTATTGAGAAAAGGATGAGGACTGAGAAGGTGACAGAGAACCTGAAGATGTTCGTAATAACTTCGTATAGCATACAAGAGCTGAGTTGGAATGAAATGGTGCCCCGGTAGCGTAACTGGTAGCGCACTTGTCCAGAAAACGAGGGGTGCGGGTTCGAGTCCCGTCTGGGGCAAAAGTTTTGTTCACAACCCAGCATTCTGAACAGTCAATATCAGTTTTTGCAGAACATACTTTGCGGTCACGCAGTGCCTGTCATGCATGACAGAAATCGCTTTTCTTGTACTGAAATCAGAGCCAACCAATTCGTTTCTACTAGGAAATGCTTGGGTCTGAGACCAGCAGATCTCCATCAAATATCTCAAGTAGAGATCGATAAAAACAATGGTTATTCAGAGCAGTTGGACTTCCTGAGGCGTCATACATCTGCCAATCGTTGAGGATTATGGAAGCATTGGAAGCTACAGAGTTCACGCAGTCACTTCACTAACTAGCTGGCACTAATCCAGGTGCGGATCTATGTTCCTCGATTCGAGAATGTTTATTTTTTTAATTCGCCCGAGATTTTCATGACTCAAGTAATACTTACTACTCATGCAAATTGCAGCAGCAACCCAGTGCCCCACCATAGATGATTAAAGCTGCGTCTCGTGCTCCAAGAACAATAACCATGACCCCATTCTTAGAACGGCGCCTCTGGCCACTGCGCTACGTGTATCTTGTGTATACAAAAACGCGTATAAAATGTGGAGATGTTTTAGTTGGAAAATGCCTTACATGGGAGTGATCCGTCGATTCTCATTAGCCAGTTCTTGATCGAAGGTGTCGGAATGGAAATAATAGATGTCCAGTAGTGGAGCTGGTGCCTCGCCGGCTTCGATCGCTCGTACAACGAGATTTTCGAAATCTCTGAAAAGGCTTTCCGACTCGAAATTTTCTCGAACTACGATATTCCTTGAAATAAAAGAATCTTTATGTCATTTAATCACCTTATACTCAGAAATCAGTAGATTAGTTCCTATACTCAATACAGTATGTTATGGTGGTTAATGTGTGTTTTCTTATGAGTGAAGTAGGCATAAATAGATAAGAAAATCAATGAACGACTCAACGAGAAAAAATTCAAAACTCCGTATTGGAAGAAAATTTGCTGATTTCAGAAAATCTCATGAACGTCGTCGATGCCAGTGATAACTCGGCCTTAACGCGCTAAAGCACTTCCATTTGTGGATTGATGATGTTTCAGTTGAAATAGCACCAGCCAGGCTTGAGCCGAGTTCACCGATTTCCCATGCAAGTAACTCCGCCCAGCGTTCGACCCACGTCCACAGGTTCAGTGGCGAAACGAGTGTAATACAATGGGAACGTCACATTGAAGTGGTCCTGGAATAAATGGAGCAGGTATTAGTACAATTCGCATACAAAAAGTGACATTTTCCGGCACTATTCCACTATTACTGCCCCAAAATCTCAAAATTTTATTTTTCGTCGAAACTTTGCCTATAGGGTAATTCGATGCCCTGATTACGAATATGACATTCATTTTTGATGCTGGCGCCATTTGGCGCCAGTTGGCGCCACCTTGTCACGACGGCTGTTTTCACGAAATTCGGTGTAAACTTGTACATAGGGGTTATTTGGTGTCCTGATTACGAATATGACATTTATTTTTGAGGCTTGCGCCATTTGGCGCCCATTTTCTGCTCGTCTGCGCCCTCGCACTGAGTTGGTCGCTATATCAAGGACTAACCAGGAAAGGTCATTTGGTCAACCCGGCCATTTGAAATGAGATGTATATGTGTATACGCGCCTTGGGACGCTGAGCTCAAATATGTGTTCCTTATCTGCTGAACTCTTCTCTGAAAGGAATTATGAAGCAGAAAAGCGCAGGGGCTGTGGTCGAGGCTCACGAAAAAGAGGTCAGGGGATCAACTCCCTGGCGAGTTTGTTCTTTTGCCGTTTGCAGTAAGATAGCTAGGAAGACTCCTAACATTGCTAGTCCGATATGCTTGCGTATAGTTAACAGTAAAAAAGAATTTGAGGGCAATTAATAATGAACTTGGGCGGCACCGCTCCTCACCACTTTGGGCGCTTGTAGCGCAGGCGCCAGGCATTTTTGCTTCGAACAAGTATGATATTCGTAATCAGGGAGTCAGACTCTCCCTTTGAGCGAACTTCTAGCGAATTCTGAAATTTTGACCTAACCTCGAAAATTTGGGCAGTCACTTACTCACCGATCCACCAATCCATTACAAAAGGCTGGCACTTGGGTAGAATAAATTTTTTAAAAACTTTTCATAATAGACGAAAATTGTGTCTGGCTTGCCCGTCTGCATCATCCAAAGATCTGCAAACCATTATTTCCTAATACAACACCTTCTCTCCCCTTTCCCCCGTCGTCCATGATTGGTCAACCCAAAAAAGTGGAGTTTGAGGAGTGGTAATCCCATCACTGCCCCGCTTTTTCTCAATTATTTCGTCGCCTCAGATTTGGCGAAAAACTCGCTGTAAGGGTAGTTTGATCCCCTGAATACGAATATCATACCTACTTGCCACGGAAAAGCATAGCACCTGCACTACGGGCACCATAGGCTTTCACAGACAAGTAGTGCTTAAGTTTAAGAGGGTCAGCTTGCAAACTCTTCGTAGATGTAGCGTCGGGCGACCATTGGTAAAATAACAGATTCAAAAAGGCTTTCAGCCATGTTGGAAAAAAAGCAAAACAACAAACCCCGTAAGGGACCGAACCCCCGACCCCCTCCGTGAGAAACACGACCGCTACCAACTGCGCTACCTAGGCTCACATCACCAGTGCATCGGTTCTCCTTTCGATACTTTTGTAGTGCGGCTAACATGTGATTGCAGGTAAAACACTGAAAATCAAGGGCGGCAACAAAAACCCTCCGTAACTCCTTTCAGAGAAGAGTTCAGCAGATAGTGAAAGCAGATTTGAGTTCAGCGTCTCATGCTGCGTACAGAAATGTGCACCTCATTTCATTTGGCCGGGTTGGCCTAATGACCTTACTGCCCAAAATCTCAAAATTTTATTTTTCGTCGAAACTTTGCCTATAGGGGTAATTCGATGCCCTGATTACGAATATGACATTCATTTTTGATGCTGGCGCCATTTGGCGCCATTGGCGCCACGGCTGTTTTCACCAAATTCGCTGTAAACTTGTACATAGGGGTTATTTGGGGTCCTGATTACGAATATGACATTCATTTTTGGGCTTGCGCCATTTGGCGCCCATTTTCTGCTCGTCTGCGCCCTCGCACTGATTGATCGCATATCAGGACTAAGCCCTTGGGGAAAGGGGCTCAGAGGTGAGTGAGCCACTCACCCTGATATCACACACTTCAACTTTTGTCACATGCTGCGTGGTTTACCCACCTCGGAGTCCTCCTTCTCCAATAAGCTTAGTCTTAAGCACAGTGTGAGTGAGAGAGCCCAGGAGAGCAGAAAATATGCGTTAACAGCGCCAATTCCAAAAACGAATGTCATATTCGTAATCAGGACACCAAATACCCCTATGTACAAGTTTACACCGAATTTCGTGAAAACAGCCGTCGTGACAAGGTGGCGCCAACTGGCGCCAAATGGCGCCAGCATCAAAAATGAATGTCATATTCGTAATCAGGGCATCGAATTACCCCTAGGCAAAGTTTCGACGAAAAATAAAATTTTGAGATTTTGGGGCAGTAATAGTGGAATAGTGCCCATTTCCCTTACCTGATCTCCCTTTGCATAAACGTCAGCGATGAGCCGTGCATGTCTGTTCGAGAAACATTCATTCTAGAAGTAGTAAGGCTAAATTGATGGAAAAATTGATCCCACTTTTGTATGATGTAATGTTTGTGAGGTTGAGAGTACGTATGGAAGGTGAGGAATGGAAGATGATCAGGAGGATACGAACGATATAGAGTGAGAGGGCATGTGAGGTTGGCATTCGTTCAATAAGCCATTCCAATCCCTGTGTTCTGTCGCCGATACTGGCGATCAGAAAGAATCGAAGAAGAAGTGAAGGAGGCCGCAAGCCCATTGAAGTCAACTCCCAGTGTGTAGGGAACGTCGTGAAGAACATGGTGGAAGCTCTATTACAACTTCCACGCATTCGGGAAGGTTACAGAAGAAAGGAAGCGGTCATGCAGACTGCCCCTGTCCAGCTGAAGGTGAGGGAACAGCGACTGCGATGGTATGGGCACGTGCTAAGGAGGCCACAGGACCACCCAATAAGAAAGCAATGGACTTCGAAGCGCAAGGCAAGCGACCGCGAGGAGCCCCAAAGAAAGGTGTAGGTGTGGTTTGGCCTCATCAATCCAGAATAGGTGTATATTGTGAGAATATAGGGTGGTTATCCTTAAAAAGTTTCAAAAAGTAGTGCTGAGAATGTTGCACAACAGCCACTATGGTGGGAATAGGATGATTAGCCCGGCGAGAACCTAAGATATGGTTTCCAGGCATGGATAAAGCTGTATAGAGGTGGCAAAGAAGTGCGGCGCCTGTGGGTGGAAATATCTTCACATCCATCAATGATAGGTTATGGTGATCATTGTGCTTCCTTCAGATTGGTTAGGCGGCTGCATATCATGTGCCTACATGTTTTCTCACGGCTTATTTTCGAGCTGGCTTCTGATAAAAAGGGTGAAGGACCTTCCCCTCGTGGAATCCAGATGTTCTTTTCTACCACATAGAGTGGTCGCCTCCCCGGGATCGCTGCTGGTTGTGTCGCTGCGCCTGCACTTCCTACCCTGCACTTCATTCAGTTGTGAGTATTCTTGTTGCAAGGCACCATTATCTGGTCCATTGTATGGTATTGGTTGCATTGTTTTGCCTTTTAATAAACTTTTGCACTGGATTTCGATCACATATAATGCTCAAACACGACAATCAGATCCGCACAACTTCAAAGGAGTCGGAAAAAGTTCGGCAAAGGCTGCACGAAGATTTTGTGAGACAAGTGGGACAGTGAAATTGCTAATAGTGGTGGAGTCAAATCTGAGTGGCCTCAAGCAGTCAAAATGGGCGTCAACACGCCAAAAAAATAATAAACTGAAAGAGATTTTCAGCAGGAATGGATTGCCTAAACAATAGGTTTCAGACATCAGACCCTCGGAATTCCGTTAATACTGCGAGAGAAGAGGAATTCGGGAGATGTTCCGCTGTACCACCCCGAATTCCAATGGAGAGGGAACGTTTTGTACAAACGTTCAAAATGTCCCGTATAAAGGGCTTGTCTGACAAAACGCTAAAAACGCAGTGGTGGATCTTCTCTGTGAGTACAGTGTTACACCTCATGCAGCAACGGGGAAGGCACCCGCAGAGCTATGATAGAGGCAAAAGGGGAAAGCGTTTGAAGTCGAACAGGAAGTAGTAATAAGGATTTGTACCGGCGCAATCAGCTGCATCATGGCGTGGATATCACGCAAGACCCTATAAAAGAGGACGTGAGGGGAGTAGACCCTCAGTGATGTTCGCGGCTCCGGTGCAAGGAGCGGCGGGTCAAGCCCCGCACGTATCTCCCGTGATATTCATCGCCAGCGGTGCCGCCACCGCCGACGACGCTCTGTGTCACACCGCCCCCATGCCGCCCACAGCGGAGTAAGCCGCTGACAACCAGGATGAGATTCGAACTTACGCAGAGAATCTAAAATGGGCGGCCATTTTGAAGTTAAAGGAGGCAGTTCAACGTCGCATGGCGTAGTCCATGCCACCGAAGCCGTAGCCGCCGGAGCTAAAGCGCATCTCGGAGCCGTCGCTCTGTTGGAACCGCGCAAGAGCTCCAAAGTTTCGTGACAGTAGTGGGTGTTATGTAACAGCTGTGACGATTGACCGTACCCAATTACAAAACACAACACACTTTCGTAATTAACCATTTATTGCATCTATATACAAAATGATGATTGGCAATGAGCCAATCAATATACAAAAGGTGCTAGAATCTACTACTGTAGATTCTAGGCTTTAACCAAGCTAGGGAACGGGGACTGTCCGCAATTCACCTGCCATCTTGTACATTGAACCATCTTCTCGCCGAGGATGTTCAAACGTACACTTCCTTCTGACCAGAAGGGCGACCATCTCGCGTGAGCCACGCTTAGGCCAACGTGCATCTGTAGTCGTCTTGTACGAACTACTGCACAACTGCTTTCCACACGGGGAAAGATCCACTCTTCAACTGGTGTGAAGAGAACGAAGCTCGCATCGGGCGACGCTTCGGAGTCAGGGGGAGCCCTCTAGCACGTAGAGTTAATCACCTAGTCGTCCGCAACGACCTCGGGAAACTCCCCTCTCGTTATTCCGAGAGAGACCGATCTGCTCACATCCGTGAGCTCGGCGGCAAAACTCCAGACTGACTGATCAGCTCGATCAGAAGACGGATCGACAGTAGATGGGGGCGTGGCTTAGGTTTACGACCATAAGAGAGAATCTCAAGTACCTAAGGTTACACCTAGGGATACTAGTCTGCACCTGCATGCACTTTTACAACCTGCACGCGGCCCATCTCAATCCGAGATATTACTCACAAGTTTATCTAAACTTGGATGATACAGTAAAACTGACTAAGGTTACCCATATACTACAGCTCTAGTAGCGACAGAAATGAACCTAAAGCTCCGTTGACTGGACCCTGCTTGTTTGTTCACTAGGTCCTCCCGCTTATGGGAGCGTGAAGGTGATTCAATAAAGAGGTTGATTGTCTTTAGGTAGTCTATTTTGTACCCTCCTGAATGGACGACACCGCTAACCGGGGTCCGCTCTGGTGGTGTGACAGTGACCAGTCGGCTCCATAAGGGTGTTTGAGGCGTATATCAGGGACTTGCGAGAGTAACGTGTCGGAGTGAGGAACCGGAAGTGCGATTCAGAGGATAGAATGATATAAGTGTCAGAGTAAGGATATATTGTTCGTCTAATAATTATCCTGCCTCTCCACTCCTGCGGTTCGTTTCTCACCGGATTGGCTAGCAGAAAGACTCAAGGAACACTCAATACTCTGTAGTATGGAGTTCAACACTCGTTCGGTGAGTAGCGAGCAGGGTATCCGCTTATATAGTTAAAAAAAAAAAAAAAGAAAAAAAAAAAAAAAAAATATAGTATACCTGAAGAAAATTCGTACTAAAACTTAATGCACGTTATGTCAGCTTGAAATAGGCGTAAGAGGCCCGAAACTCGCCAAAGGCGCTTTTAATTTTTGTGAAGCAATTGCCTGTCTTTGCAAATGCTTTGTTAAAAGGTTTTAGGTCTTTGTAATAAATTTCGGAGCTCATATGTAACACATTTAGACAGCAATAATAATTTGGACCCACCTCTTTCGATGATTTTAATCATCAGCATTGGCATCTTCAGAATTAGTTGGGAGAATTTTTCTGTAGGAACGCTTCCACTCGCTTCTCGCAGTGCCGTTATTAGGAGGCTTTTTGATTTTTTTGTTTTTATGGTATTCCACAATAGTCTCAGCACCTTCTACACATTCGGATTTCGTAGCGAAGGGGCGTTTGGTCTCTGGTTTACCCATCAACGCTTCACCCCGATTTTTCCAATGCGGTCGCGCTACGGTGCCGCCCTAGGCGTCCACCCTGGGTCGTAGCACACCTTAAAAGGCCACAATAGTGTGGTTGTTGTAAGTTTCATTCTCTCGGAACATGAATAATCCGCGTGAATTCTATGGCATCTGACAGGATCAGGCTGAATATTTTCAGGAAAGATGCAAGAATTCTCAGTCTCGCTTGAGCTTCCCACTGTTCCGATCAAGTTTCTTTCAACGGCGATGATCTATTCATCTTTTTGTGTAGCGGACATTCAGGGCTGGCGAGAAGTGCGCCTCAATTGCGTGCGGGTGCAGCAATGTCCTCTGTCGCCAATTCAGGGGATGCGCTACCCAAGCGGCAGGCCACATCCACATATGCGATTGCAATTCGCACGTTTGAATCATGTTTGCGTATGAGACCACGACTTAGTCACCAGCAGGACGAACTTCGACTAGACGACTTGCAAAACAGCACAACGAATCAGGATCATACCAGCCATCACAAGTCGAGTTTCGACAAGTCGGTACGGAAGTTCAGGAACTCCGCATCAGTTCAATCAACACATGAGGATCTCAAAGTCGACCGCGCGAGGCATAATAATCATGCTGATTGCAATCAAGGTTGTTATTGAGAAGCAGGAAATGAAACACAGATGTCGATCGCTGATAATATGATCTTCTTAGTAGTGCTTTGAGGGTCCATATCGCTCCTCTCCCAGTTAAGAAAGGAAGTTAGGGTGTTCTACCTCGTCTTCCGGCAACAACAGCAGCGGCAGAACCCCGCACCATGTTCTCAACCAAAAAATTAATTGTGACAGTCTGCGTTTTCTTTCTGTTTGGATCTTCTCGGATTATATCAGCGCAAGGAATCGCTGGTAAAAATTTGGAGTGAAAGTGCTTACTCCTTCCAGAGATAGAGAAGAACCAATGTTCAACCCATATTGGTACACACTGTATATGCTCTTAAAAATAGGAGCTGTGAACTGTGACGTAGATTGTGTAAAGGTTAGTGTTTCCGGTCGAAAAGCCCGAGGTCCGGGTTTGAGCTCTGGATGAGGCTAATTTTTTTGCTCATGACGCAGTGAAACTTGGGAAAGTAGTGACTGCTACCCATGGCCTAAGTACAGAAAGTCTCTTGTCAGCGGCTTTGATTTTATACAACAACCCTCGAAATAGACCACACTTTTTTTTAAATTGCATGTCAGGGAAAACCGGATGCTATCTATCAATTTTTCGAGGTCACTTCACAGGATTTGCACCCCTATACATATATTGGTCGATTGTTTCGGCTTTATCAATGATAATGATTCAGCCATACCTGAAAGTGAAGGCAAACATCTGAGTACGGAGAAACGCTTCCCTTCTGACGAGATGAATTGCGTCGATGTCATCCAATTGAGGATCTGAACGAACATATTTTGGTCCTTGCTTTACATTTTTTGTGCTAAGCTGACTAAACTGATTCAACTTGATTTTGTTGTGAAAGTAAGAATTTGCGCCAATCTCAACAACATTGGTTCAGCGGATTGACATATTAACAATAGGTGGTCCGATATCGGATCACGTCCGCAGGTATGAGGGGCGGCGTGATCCAATGTCGGATCACGGCAAGCACGCTCGCGTAATCGCGCCTGTCACACGCGGCCATAAAGGCGACCGCACGTAAGGCGGTGAAGGTAGGAACTGGGCATGGAAATCCAGCCTATCATGGATAAGTATGTTTAGACGAAAAAGACTTGCTGTTTAATCAGTAAGATAGGGTATTATAAGGAAACTCGTCAAAGTGGGAGGGGGAGCAAAGTGGCGGCGTACAACCGATGGCTCGTCCCCAAGTGACAACATCGGCTTTAAAGCAACAATCCCAGGATGAATTCACGAGGTAAAGACCGTTGATAATGTAGTTAGCCGACAATTTGACGGATAGTAATGAAAAAACCAAAGAAAAACGTCGAATAGGGCTTTAAACAGGAACTCACTCCCTGCCGCTTAGCGATGAGAGAAGACGCGTGCTGGACGAGTTGTCCGAACCTAACTTAGCTAACTTAGATCAGAATCAAGCAATTGTGAAATTGTCATATCAGCGACTCACGCACACGACGTATTCACTAGCTCATTCACTAACAGTTCGATCACCCCTCAAACTACTGCAATTCGACCCTTCCATTTAGCTGGGAGACCCTTCCATTTAGCTGGGGAAGCCTTGATTCCGCTAAT